GTGTTCAAAGCGTCACCTTCCTCTGGTATGGGGTTTGAGTAAGAATTTGATTTAATGGTGGTGCGACCTTGGTCAAAGTCTAGTATAGGGGGCTCAAAGGATGGGGCTTTTGCTCGGGAACTTCTCCTTATGCTCCAGGGAAGCTCAGAAGAAAATCAATTTAAAGATTGGTGGAGGTGTATGGAGTGATAGAAAATTTCCCTAGATTTCAAAGGATAAATTAGGTCTGGACTATGGGAATGGGTGGCTAAGGGTAGTGGGATTGAACTCAAGTGGGTTGAGTGAGGCTCTGGTGAGAATTTGGCAGAGTCTCCCTAAGGAATTGGATCTTCTTCCATGCTTGGCCGTGAGGGGGAGATTTATAGATGAGGCCAATGGGGTGGCCTCAAGCTCTGATTGGTTGGTGTCAATAAGCTTAGGTGGAGTACTAAGTGGCGCCAATTGCGAATAAAGGTTAGCCACATAGGATGGACGGGGCTTGGGAAGGCTGGTGGAAAGAATCCTTCTGGTTTAGACGCTTTTTGGAAGAAAAACCTTAATTCAAGGGACTCTTGGTCCATGTTACTGATCTAGGCTGAGTTTTAGAGTCCAAATGGTAGCTATGGTGGTCAAGGTTGGGCTACCACAAGTGGCTAAATGTGAGTTTAGGGTTTTGGTTCAAAATTAAGATTTAGCTTGGACTTGAGTTTGGGCTTGGCTAGAGTTTGGATTTGGGTTAATTGATTGCTCAATTTGGATTAGAAGATTGTCATGAAGCATTTGGGTATCAATTGTGTAGAAATTGAAAGGTTATGAAGTTTAATTTGGAGGAGTTTGGATTTTTTTAGCAAACTTGGGAATTTTTTGTTTAAATTGGATGCCAAACTAAGCATCTATGATGCTCTGATCCTGTCAAAGGAGATGAGAGAAGCTCTAGTTAGGGTCTTTATTAACCCAGAGATTTTCTTAGCCCAATTGGTCGGTAACTCCTTAAGTGAGGTTTGCTTGTTAAAAGAACAGTATGATGTTACCTTCACAGATAATGACTTGTTGCTCAGTACCGTGGACTATAACCGACCTTTGTACATTTCAATCACCATTGGCAAGTTTACAGTCTCCATAGTGTTAGTTGATCCGAGAGCGTCAATAAATGTGATGAATATGCAAACTTTAGCATACTTGGAAGATGATGCCCAAGATCTCAAAGCAGAAAGGATGATACTAAGAGGCTTCAATCAGAGGGGAGAAAGAGCTATTGGATCAAATACAATACCTATGTTGATTGGTGATATGGAAAGGACAACCACAAAATTCCACATAATTGATTATGAGACATCATTCTATGCCCTACTGGGTCGACCCTGGATCCACGAGTACCGGATGGTTCTGTCATCTCTACACCAGTGTATCAAGTACTATGAAGACAGCCAAGAACAATGCATCAAGGGAGATTTACAGCCATTATCGGTGGATGAAGTAGGAATCCATGAATATGTCGCTTACTAAGCACCTCCGATGAAGACGTTTTCTCCAGAAACATTCACCAAACAAATCAAAGGAGCCGGAAGAGACACAAGATGAAGAACATCCGATTCTAGTTCAGCAGCCCCTCACCACTCCCTTGGAGTGAGAAGATGAAGGTTTCTCTAGTGCTCGCACCTGAGGTCGAGGCCGGGGACGAGGTCGAGGAAGAGACGATGAAATTGTTGGAAAAAAGAATCCAGCGATCAAAATTGGTCGGGAAGACAGTTTTGAGGAAAAAGAAGTCAAGAAAAAAGTAATGAAGATAAATTCAAAAAAGCCTCGATTTGAGATTTCTCTAGAAGATTGGAAGAATGAAGAATACAAATCAATGTACGACAAGATTAACAACTATGTACTGACTGTGACCCAAACTCTGATCCATTCTAATAATGTCGAGGGTTTGGTGGTCAAGGAGGTACATGGTGTTGATGTCAAACCAATCAAGTTCTACCAGGGTTCTTCTTCTTCAAACCCTGAAAAATGATGTAAAACTAAAAGAAGTTGCTTCCTCTGAATTAAATGAACTGTCTTTTGAGTGGTATTCTCATTGTGTTGAAAAATTAGTTCAACATGGTGTCGTGACTAAGCGATGGGCAAAAGACGAGTCGTACCTTTTCGGCAAATTATGAAATAATATCAGTCGACCTTTCAGTTCAAAGCAGGGTCTTGGGTTCGACACAGTTGGGTCAATGGATGATACAGAATTTTGTTTAGTTGTTACTGAGGAGCCTTATGAAGATTGCATGGAAGCTTCAGAAGTCTTCGAAGATTCTCCAGTTGAAGATTCTCCATCAGATTTTGAAGAGGAAATTAAGTCGACAATCGATGAGCTATGAGAAGTTAACTTAAGGACTAGTGAAGAGCCTAGACAAACCATTATTAGTTCCTTGCTCAACGAAGGAGACTCTATGAATATGATCAAATTGTTAATGGAGTTTAAAAATTGTTTCACCTAGAGTTATGAAGAGATGCCCATATTAGCTCTAAAGGTGGCAGTTCATATGTTAAGATTGGATCAACCATCGTTTTAGTCAGATAAGCTCCAAGTTAAATGCGTCTAGAGATTGAGCAGCAAGTCCTAGCATAAGTCAAAAAGCTAAGTTTGTTCGTGAAGAGCAGTACTCGACCTTATTGGCCAATGTGGTGTCGGTTAAAAAGAAGAATGGTCAGATTCGAGTATGCATGAATTTCAGATATTTGAACAAAGCATGCCTGAAGGATGAATTTTTGCTACCAATTCCAGAGTTGATGATTGTTATTGCGTCGAACCATGAAATTTTCTCTTTTATGAACAAGCATCTAGATACAATCAGATTAAGATGACACCAGAAGATGAGAAGCTCACAGCTTTCAGGGTGTCAATTGGAGTGTGTTGCTACACGGTAATGTCATTTGGATTGACGAACACTAGTGCAACTTATCAGCGAATAATGACGAGGATCTTTGATGATCTCATCGATAATCAAGTTAAATTCTATGTGGATGATTTGGTCATCAAGAGATAATTGAAGGAAGATTATTTGCATGAATTGAGAATTGTTTTTGAGCGGCTACAATAGTTCAACCTTAAGATGAAATCCTTAAAGTGCGCCTTCGGTGTTACTTCCTGGAAATTCTTAGGGTTTGTTGTCCATCAGCGTGGAATTGAAATTGATCCAAAAAATATTAAAGAAACTTACAAATGCCACCCCCTAAGAACTTGAAGCAATTGCGATCATTTTAAGGAAGGTTGACATATCTTGAACACTTTATTTCTAATTTATCAGGTACGTGTCAGCCGGGCAGTACAGAATTTTTCTCAAGCAGTGTTTTGGTGTCAGCCTTTTTCTGCACTCAAGAAAGATGACAAGTTTACTTGGGATGTCAAGTGTCATCATGCCTTCAAGAGCATCAAGTAGTATTTGATGATGCCTCCTTTCATAGCAACCCCAGTCTCAGGTAAACTATTGATACTTTATACCGCGACTTTAGACGATTCCCTTGGAGCCTTGCTAGCCCAGGTTAATGATGTGGGTAAGAAAATGCTCTCTACTACTTGAGTCGTCATCTAATTTTGACAGAGGTAAAGTATCCTCCTATTGGGAAGAATTATTTCGCATTGATCTTTGTCGCTCAGAAGAATTATTTTGCATTCCACTACATGCTTTCTCACAAGGTCAACCTAATTTCAAAGTTTAATCCTTTGCAATACTTGATGACCCAATTGATGCTTTCCGGTAGCTTAGCCAGATGGTCAATGATATTATTGCAGCTTGATATAACTTTCGTTCCTCTTCGGGCCATAAAGGGGCAAATTTTAGCGGATTTCCTCACGACACATCTTTTATCGGTAGAGTCTCCTCTCAACGACGACTTGCCAGACGAGCAGATAATGAATTTAAAAGACCCAGTCTCAATGCTGAGATATGTACGTTTACGGAGCATCATCAACATAAAAGGACAAAGATTTGCAAACGATAGTGCCTGGAAAAGCAGGGATTAAATTAATCTTTATTATGCCCAAACAAGGAATCTTGAGGTACTCCTACCATCTAACAGAGTTGTGTCTAAACAATGAAGCAGAATATGAAGCCCTCATAGTTGAACTAGAGTTAATCATTTTAATGGGGATAATCAACATTGGTATCTACGGTGATTCAAGATTGATTATACAACAGGTCGCCGGGCAGTACAGAATTTTTCTCAAGCAGTGTTTTCAGTATACGATAAAGTTATTGGAGTAGATTCCTAATGTGACATTATACAAGTTTTCTAGAAGAGAGAATGCCTTTGCAGACGCTTTGTCTTGGCTCGTGAAAGAATTTACATGTCTACAGGAAGATTCTGTCGAAGTAACAGTCTGGGGACGTCAAGTCCTATCCCAGATTGACATAGATGCGTTGCGCAGATTGAGAAATGAAAAAACAGTGATAGTAGTTACAGAAACTATAAAAGATTTGCGTCAATAGTTAATAGAATATTTGCAAACAAGAAAGATGCCAGATCATAAGACAGTTGTGCATCAGATCAATAAAAGAGCTATGTCCTATGCCTTGATAGATAATGACTTGTACAAGAGGTCGTTTGATCAGATGTGGCTGAGATGTTTGAGCGGGTCCGAGGCTCGAGAAATTGTTAAAGAGGTGCACACGGGACTTTATGGAGCTCATTAGTCAGGTCCAAAGATAAAAATGAAGATTAAGGGTCTGTTTGGGACAGATGTAGATTTTTTATAATCTGCTGATAAACATAATATTCTGATAATCTGATAATCTACAGATTATCATGATAAGTTGGCTTGTTGTTTGGGGCAGCTTATTCAGAATAGCTTACTGGTACTTGTTGTTGGATAAATAACTATTCTGCCTGTGTTTGGTAAAGTTGTTTGCAACAAAACTGTATGAAGAAAATAATAGATAGAATAGAAGCCTCAAACTGTCACAGATTAGTTAAAAAAATAAAATACAGTGCTCACTATTTTGCGAGTATCAAAAGAAATAAAATAAAGAGAAATACAGTTACAAGTAAAAGTAAAAATATCAAAATATTTAATTTAAAACTCTGACGCCATCTGTCCTCAGCGACACTGTCCTCCTGAGAAACCATCATACCATGATCATTGTCGATAGGGGAGTATGTTGGAATGTCTGCCCAACGGAAGAAACCGCACTATATTGAAACACCCCTCTGACAACCGTAGAACTGTCTCCCACTGCTATGAGATTGAAGTGACGTAAGGGAACCGGTAATCCACAGTAACACAACACCGCTCGGGAGGTCCCTGAAATCCTAGAGCTCATGCTGCTACTGAGATTAAACAACAAAAAATCATTTGTCAGATCAAAAAATTAAATTAAGTTTTATATAGTAAAATAGAACTGGAAAAAATGAAAACCATATGCAATGAAATAAACATGAAATTCTTAATAGAACTATAATATTCACACTCATTTTACTATCAGATACATAAGAAATAAACCTAGAGTCTAATAAATAAAGAAACGTGGCTGAATCAATATCTAGAAATAGCATCTACGATAGACTCCTTCAAAGCAACCATTTTGACAACTCCTTCACTGTCCTGAGTTTCAAATTCATTCGACTCGATCTCATCCTCAGGTAATGATTGGCCAACCAGAGATTCTGAAGGTTCTGGAGTGACATGTAGCTGATCGCCATTAGCCAAAAAGAAGTTCGTGTCTGATTGAGAGGGATGTCTTTGGATGAAGTTGTGAAGTGTCATAGTGGCCACCACAATATGCACATATTTAGAAAATAAATACGACAACACATCACATAGGATGACTCATTTTTTTCCACACCACAAATGTTCTTTCAATTACCCCACGTAAAGATGAATGTCGTTTATTAAACATTTCTTTTTATCACGGATCGTGCCACTTGCTTTCTCAAAATCAGGAATATTGTATCTAGTGTCTGGACCCCTTTGCATCAGATATCTGACATCAACCAGATAATATTTCTATGTTATGAAAGACAATATTAATGACAAATAATACATATAAGTTGTAGGTTCACATAGCTAAACATACATGGAGGCGGATGAGGGAAACACTGCATTCTATTCCTTGCTGCATAGGAAAAAATATGATTATCATGTGCACTCCCTTCCCATATTGCCATTAAAAATGTGAAGCACATGTTGAAGTCACATACTGACATGAAATTTTGGGTAGTTGAAACACTCCGACCAATGTACGCCATTTTTTGTGGCTTGGTAGTCTGGCATCTACATGCATATCATTGATTGTCCCAATGCAGTTCTGTTTTCCATACACATTATATTATGAAGCTAACGTAACCTACTAATAAAAGTTACCTTGAAATATGGCATGTAACGATGATTATTTGCAATTTGTTCAAGAATAGTTGCGAACTATGGATCCTCTGGTTTAATTATTTGCGACGCTAAGTTCACAAGTATCTGTATACCTTTGGAGAAGTATCGATTAATTGTTTCTGAGGAATATTGAAACTGTTACATAGCTCCTCTAATTGATTCGTTTTATGAGAGAATGTATAATTTTATAGCCAACACCTCTCTAGTGGTCGTTCTAGAAGAAACATGGAGGTCGTGGTTAAGACATAACTCGTGAAGGGGATCCATAAAAGTGATTGCAGTCATTCGAAAAATGTTGTTGAACCTTATCGGATGTCCAACAAGCATTTCACCAACCCATTTTTCCCCAACCTGGGAGGATGTCATGTGCGGTATCCGTCTAGTGTTGGTGCGATAGTATTCCAACAATAATATCACAATAGCTACAACCCATGTCATTCTTTTATGACGTTCTTGTTGTGGATCCATCATAAAAAGAGAAATGTATTAGGACAAGCTATGACAGACGAATGTAATAGAAATAAAATCAAGGACTATAAAGCAGTAGAAAAGAACATTCATAAAAGTGCTTAGATGAAATTACATAAGAGAAAAAGCTAGTGACAGTGCCATGAACATTTGCCTACGCGTAGGGTCTTTAAGGTTTTTCAAAAAATTTTGCATTAAAGCACATATCAACAACTACAACTGAAAAAGCATCCAAAATGGCAACGCAATCTAAGATGTTGTTGTCAGCGGCGGAGATGCAAAAGCAGCAATCAATTGATCGAAGGAGCTTTTTACAAAAATGTCCTTTTCTTTCTTCTTCCTGAAGCCTGGGCCACTTGGACAGGGAACTGGACTCCTCCATATCTTTTTTGTTAACACTAGGCCCTTCTTCACCTGTTATAACATGTTATGGTGGCAAGTCATCCAGTATTCCCGAAAAACCCAACTAGCTTGGGTTGAAAGCAAGCTTTCCCATCGCAACAACACCTTCAAACATGATGTCCAGTTTTTCTTCAAACTCTGGCTCAATCCCGTACTGCCTATATTTTTTGGCTATTTGCAGGGCCTGTATCATTAAATGGAAGGAAAGGGGTTTAGTCAATAACCAAAAAATATGAGAATAAACAAAATGAGAGTGTATTTATTACTTTTAATCACTCAACCCACCATTTATCTGGAGCATTGATTGTTTGCTTAACGGGATCCCAACCCAACCTGGTGGTTTCACGTTTGAGCTCCATAAAAATTTTCCACTCCTTTAATTGATCTCATTTATTTTTCAATTTGAGCCTGTTGTAATCCCTTCCTGTCAATTTTTTGAACATTTTTGCAATATTTTGCCAATCTTCCTTGTTGAAATATGTGGTTGGCCTACTTCCGATTTCAATTTCTGTAATACAGAGATTGCAAAAAATATTTGTAACTTCCTTATCCCACATAGCTGACGGACCACTTTCATTCGTCTTAGCCATGTTGGAACTATATAAATAATTTATTGTTAAACAGAGCAACTAAACGTATAACATCGTGCTAAACCATTGTATAATAAAAACAAATAAGACCAAAAATCAAATTGCTATCGTGCTAATATAATAAAAACAAATAAGACCAAAAATCAAATTGCCTGATGGCTGAATTTAAGGGAAATTTGCCTAAATGCCTTATTTATTCAGAAACACTCATATATGTATAAGAAAGTCTCATATATGCATATATCCATAAGCAAGCCAAGCGGTGAACTGACATTGGAGCTTGAAGGCATATCTACTAAACACATGTAGCTTGAAGGTATATCTACTTAGCATGATGATATTCCAAGCACCGACAACATTGAAAAGTGATTGCAAAGCTTTTGCAACAACATTCTAGTTTCTACAATGAGAAACATATAAACGATATTTATCATAAGTAAGAAGCCTTTTGTGATTTTCCCCGATGATGCCATTTGATGACTTCCAAAATAGTCAAGACACCTTATATTTCAACATGAAACAGGCTCAAGAAACCATGTTGTAAGTAAAGTGCCATGATATACATAACCACTGAGCAATGTAAGAAAATATACGTATGAGATTAAACATAAAAGTTTTACTAAATTTATGTTTCCCTTCCCTCCTAGGCATTTCCAAATCATAGCATAAGACGGATCATAAGGGGCATTTTGATGCTTCCCCATCCTTCACTTGTATCATAAAAGATGAAATGCTGACATGTTCCTAACTTAGGTTTTTAATTACTTCTTATTGAAAAGATAATTTGAGAAGCAAAGCTTGTACTGATGTAAGAATGACCAAAAACACCATCTTTTCTCATGGAAAGCTGATATGAGGATAAAACAGAACAATATAAATCTTGCTTCGGTTAGTCCCTAGCAAAAAACATATAGCTTCTCCTCTTTTTGCTCAAACTCAACTTTAACGCACTTCAAATATCACAGGAAAATAATAACTTCAATTTGAAAAATTCTCAAATCAGGATGATCTTCAAATGTTGGATTCTCACTGTTTGCCATCAAAGTCGTTGCACCAGCTCTTCATCATTGCCTTAAATGAACTATGTTTATGAGTAATAAATAGGGCAACACATTGCATCAGCCAAAAACATAGTTGCTCAAGTGATATTCCAATGAGAAGAAAGCAAAACAAGATGTCAACTAAAAAGATACCAGAGCCAGTTGCTATTAAGGAGTGACTCCATGAAGCATTATATGTTCCAACTCCCCAATTCTATAACCATTCTCATTCTTGACATTAAACTCATTCTTTTTCAAATTTCTAGGTATGCTAAAAAATAAATTCCATCAGAGCAAAATTCTCAATTGGGGACAATTCCATGTGACACGGATTAGAAAGATTACGCACATAGCCAGGCAAGAAATCATCAGAGCAAGATCCCCAAAACACCTTATTATAGATTATGAACCTCAAATGAAAGACTGCAAATAGCTCTTGCCATCTTAGTGAGATTTACAGTAAGATTCAAATATCGAAGATTTTTCAAGTTTCCAATAGCCTCAGATATCTTTTTTCTGGCGTGGGGAGCACATGAACAAAAGCAAAAGCTTACTCATATTTGATTTGACCAATTTCCTCATTAGCGGAGATCAAAGGCAATGATATTTTTTCCAGTATTTGACTGTACAAATATTAAATAAGAAAGCTAATATACGCAAATTAGCAACTCAAGAGATAATAACTTCAAATTCTCTATTCATTCAGATCCAATCCATAACGAAACAAATCCACTAAAATAGCACAAGTAATACATGTTAAAAGCAAAGGCAATTTATTCCTCGTTCAACAGTAATGTACTAAAAAATAAGTCAGGAAGAGGACAAAGTAAATATTGATATTTTTTCTTTATTTATAAGAGCCCTAACTCAATCCAGACCATCATGGATAAGCTTACAAAAGTTTAGAATATTACTTATCCAATAAAACTAATTTCCATGCAATAAAAGAGCAAGGCAACCAACGCCTATAAGCTTACAAAAGTTTACCATATTACTTATCCAATAAAACTAATTTCCATGCAATAAAAGAGCAAGGCAACCAACGCCTGTCTCCCCTCAACATTGCATTGTTGAAACACCATGCCCTGTTGAACCCTTTTTTTTAGTAATTTTGTATGTATAAACACATTCCCAAATACTTGTGCATTTATAAACACACAAGTAAATGAAAAACTTTTTATAAATAATTTGAGCACTTCTCAATATCTCAAGCATTATTGCAATTCTATAAAATTTCATGCTTTAAAACTCACAAGATCTATTCTGGCACCGAACCTGAAATCCAACCGTATTACTAACCCCCATTGTTCTTATCTCATAAATCAAATTAGCCATCTTTGAAAATAGAACTCTCATTCATGCAAGAAAGAATGAATAATTTTGATAAATATTTCCAGTAGCTTGTTATTCTGGATCACTACAGTCGTTTGAAGCTATTAGTATGAG